GGCCGGGCGGGGCCTCCCCTTCAATACCAGGCCTTGGTCACAACGGGCGTGACATGCTGCTTTTTTTAATTTTATTTTTTTACGAGAAGAACCAGTGTCAAATCCACAAACCCTCTGAGGACCCAGGCCGGCCGGGCCGAGCCAGCAGCCCCTCGCCCCAGCTCAGAGGCACAGGGGTGAGGGGCAGCCCGGCTGCGGCTTTGGGATAGGGGCGGGGCCAGGCCTCTAGAGAACCGAGGCTCCCCCTCCCCCCCAAAGGGTTCACCTCACACTTGAATGTACAACCCACCCGGCTGTCGGGAAGGCCCTCCCTCCATCCTCGGCCCCCTGCCTCTTGCTGCTGTCCTGCCCCTGAGCCCCTGCAGGTCCCCTCCCCCACCCCTGCCAAGAGCTAGAGCAGGTGGCCCCTGTGGGCCTAGAGGGAAGGGCCACTGGCAGCCGCTGGGGGCAGACCTGAGCGACCTCAAGGCTCTGTCGTGAACGGCGTCCTTCTCCCTTGTAGCTCATATTGGCCTGTGTGCTTCCCTCCACGTTTGTAGACGCTCCAGTCCCTATGACTATGATGGCATTGCGGTCCCTCCCCAGCTGGGGAAGGGGCCTTGCAGGGACCTCTCCCCACCCTTACCCCCGAAAAAACAAAAATAAACGAGGAAATGTATGTTTCAGCACAGGCCATTTTCTTCTACTTCTGCCCCCCCCACCCCCTTTTCTAACAGCCCCAAACTTGGCCGTGGGGGAGCTCAGGCAAGGAGGCCCCAGGACCTGCGCACCGGGCACCCCGGGAAGGGCAGGCGCAGCGGAGGTGGGGGTGGCCCCTTTGCCCTCCCGACCGTCCCCCCAGGGAACACAGAGGCCTAGCAGGCAGCCTGGGGGGGGGGGGGAGGGCGGCCATGGCCACACCGGAAGCTCCCCGCTTGGCTGCCCCTTTCCCTCCTTTATATAAATTCTCTGAATCACCTTTGCATAGAAAATAAAAGTGTTTGCTTTGTAAGAAAAGTCTGGAACGTAGCAGAGCAATCTCAAGGGGTCAAGGGAGCCTTCAGTCCTCGTGTGAGGGGCGGGGCAGGCGGAGGCGTCCCCTCGGTTGGGCCTGAAAGAGAGACACTCCTGGGAGCCGCCAGCCCTTCGAGGCCTCAGTCGAGGAGCAAAGGCAGGAAGACCCCCAGTCATGGCCTGAAACCGTCCCTTACCTGCGGCTCGGGCCTTCCTAGGTCACCTGGGACCTCGGGGTGGGCGGCAGCAGCAGGTGTGGGGGCAGAGACGTGGCCTGGAGCGGAGGTGCCAGGGGCAGCGGCTGGAAGAAGTAAAACTGAACGGAAGCCCCCCAGGGTCAGCGCTGGTGGGGGCCGGTGACTCCCCGTCCCCAGGCCCGGCCTCCCCACCCCCACCCCCACCCCATACCTTACAGCCCGTGGCCAGAAGGGCGTGGAGCAGCACGACGGTGGAGAGCAGCACGGCGGCCACCAAGCGAGTGTCCTCTCGGACAACAGGCCAGAGGGTGAACACCAGGCTGGCGGCCGACAGGGCCAGGGCCAGCGCCCCAAACAGCCACTGCAGCCACGGGACAGGGATGAGCCACAGGACCTGGGGGCGACACGGGCAGCTAGCTACAGGGCCATCCCCACGGTGCCTGCTGCCCCAGCCCCGGGCCCCACTTACCACGGTGGGGATGAAGACGAAGAGCGAGTAGCCGTAGACACACACGGTCTCCAGGAAGGTGTAAGGCCCCACACGCTCCCGGACACACTTCCGCCACCGCAGGAAGCCCCACAGCGCCAGCGGCACCAGCCAGACATAGCAGTAGATGGTGACGCTGGCCACAGTCACTGTGGGGCGGGGCCGGCAGTCACCCACCTGGCTCCGTGGCGCTCCCAGCTCTGCCCGGGGCTGGGCCTCACCCTCCACTTACCCTTATGGAACTGGGGACTGTAGTGGATGGAGGGGTCCCTCCTCTGGGCCAGCACCAGTGTCAGGTTGCCAGTGACAGCCAGGACGAAGGCCAGCGTGGCACAGATCCAGAAGGGGCCTGGGGGCAGGGCACGGTGAGCGCCCAGGGCTTCCGGGACAGGTGATTTGTCCCGTGGCCACTGTGCTGGGACCCAAACTTCTTTCCAAGCCCTGAGCCACCTCCACCCCCACCGCTCCATCAACCCGACTCTTCCCCGGGTCACCAGCGATGACCAGCGGTGGCTGGATCTACTTCTGGCTCAGTTCCTTCTCTTTCTTGGCCTCCTGGCAGCTGATCTCTCCCTTCTAGAAACACTCCTCTGCATGTGCTTTCTAGTATGACTCCATGCTGTTTCTGTGTCACCTCCCTGGCAATTCCTCAACCTCTTTAACTCCCTGATCCCTTTAATGACAGAGACCCCTGGGGCCATCCCACACCCGGACCACGGCACCCACTGCCCTCCTGTCACCTGCCCCGGCCCTTCTCCCCCCACCCCCCACAGTGGCCAGAGGGAGCCCAAGAGCGCTTCTCAGAGATCCCTTCTCGCTACGGCCTACGAAGCCTGCGAGGTCTGTCCTGTCGCCCCTGTGGCCTCGCCCAGCTCGCTCTGCTCCAGTGAGGATACTGCCCTGCAGTTCTAGCAGGTTCCCACCACAAGGCTTATGTCCCCTTCTGGAATGTTCTTCCCCTAGGTCTCCTGACCCCAACCAAGGCCCATTCTCTCGTCCCTCTCAGAGGGGCCCTTCCTGACTGAACTATGCAAGACAGCGACGCTCGTGCTCTAGCCGGCCCGCTGTCGTCCCGAGCCCCACTGCCCCAGGCAACCTTCCGTGTGTCTGTCTCCCCGCACAGAATGTGTGTCCCCCGCTCTCCGGGAGCACCTCCGCCCGCCTCTGGGCTGCATGCCGGGGTCTGGGGCTCAGGCCACGTGCGCTGATGGGATTACTGAGCTGAATGCGCGCCACCACTCACCGTACAAGTCCGGCCGATTCCGCAGATGATGCCGTACAAAGTTGTGGCCAGGCCGGGGCAGCAGCGAGCCTTTGATTCGGTCCAGGACCTAGGGACGGGGTGGGGCGCAGAATGGAAGCCTGCCCGGGGCCCTTACCCCCAACCAAAGGGCCTAACTCCCGCCCTGCCCTTAGAGACTCTTTCCAGGCCGACTTCGCAGCTCCTCGGCCTGAAAGGGCTCAGATGGTCCCCCCTGGGTTCGACGGGCTGCAGCCCCTTCCCCAGGCCAGCCCCCAGCCCCCAGCCCCCGGCGCGCTGCCACTGCGAGCGACTCTGCTGGGCCTCCCCTCCCAGCCCTGGGGCACGAGTTCTTAGCCTCCTCCTGCCTCCATCTCCCTCCACTCCGTCCCCTGCTCTGCACCCCGGATTTATTCTCTCCCTCCCCGGCGCCTCCGACCCACCTTCTTTGCACCCCGTCTGTTTCCTCTTCTGCTCTAAACCTTTCCCCGGTTCCCCGCACCCTCAGCGTAAAACGCGCGCTCCTCAGCACAGCCCACGGGCCCTGCCTGCCTGTCCCCCACCTCCCACTCTCCAACCAGATCAAGTGACAGGTAGCTCCTGGGACAGTTCGTGCCTTCCCTCGCCTTTGGTCCCCTGCATCTGCTGTTCCCCGTGCCTAGGACACAGGCTTCCCATCTCTCTGTCCAGCTGAGTCTTCCTTCTCCTTTAGGCCTTAGCCCCTTCCTCGCTTCCTCCAGGGGGCCCTCCGCTACCCGCCAGAGCACGTGCATCTGTGTTCCCCTGAGCCCCGGTCACCCCCTAACCCTTATGGCGCCCCACGTTACCGCTACCAGCGGGGGCGGGGGGGCGGGGCACCTAGGCCCGCCCACCCGGGCAGCACCAGCACTCTGCGCACAGGGAGGTCTCAGTGAATAGGGACGGGGTGGGACCCCATTGTGACTCCAAGCCCCAGGCCACCAGCTTGCAGGACCTGACCTGGGATGTGTCCACGTCGAAGAAACTCTGATAGTAGCCAAATGTCCAGAGTCCCGGCTGCGGCTTCTCCTGCAGGAGCTTCACGGCAAGGGCTCTGAGGGGCTGCGCTCTCAGCCGGGCGGGGGCGGGGGCGGGGGCAGCGGGCAGGCGGGGGTGGGTGGGCGGGGGGGGGGGCAGGGGCACTTCCGTGACTCACCGCTGTCCTGTCGCTCTCCTCCCCCTCTTCCTCGGCTCCATAGCTCCCACCAGAGTCCACAGCCACAGCCACGTGCCCCTGGGGGCTCAGCTGACCGCTCCCACTGGTAGTGGCCGCATCTGGGGTCTCAGCCAGCAGACTAGAGGCTTCCTCGAACTCTGTCGAGAAGGAATAGGAGCCACAGGCAAGTCTGGGGAGTCGGGACAGGCTGGTTTGGCCCCTTGCTCATCTGGGGGCCAAGACTCCCCACCCGGGGCCACCTAACCCTTCTCTCCAACTCCCTAAGTTTGGGGGGAGGTGGAGGGTGGGTTCTCCCACTCCTACAATTTAAGGCTGGTGCTGGGATGGGGTCAGGTCAGGGAGAGAGGCTCTGGCTTGACATCTGAGCTCAGGGTTGGTGCGGGGTTCGTGTCACGAACGGGTGTCGTGCCTGGGTCGGGGTGAGGGCTCAGGGCGGGCTGGGGATTCAGGTAACACGGGAATTGGAACCCGGGTGGGAGGTTCAGGCCGCCGGGACCTGGCCAGGTCGAGGCCGCACTTACCGTGGAAGGCCAGCTCGTCGGCCGCTGCCATGGTCACCCAGGGGCGTCACTGCATCCCGCTCTGAGGACAGAAGCCAATGACACCCGCCCCCACCCCTATTCGGTGCCCACCACCTCCCCGAGGTCTGCTCCTCAGGAGAGCCCAGCGCGGCAGCTAAGAGCACCGAGCCGGGCCTGAATCCGCCGCCCCCGCCCCCCAGGTGCACCCCGCCCCCCTCACCTGAGGCTCCCTCCGGCGGCGTGGCCCAGACTCTCTGCGCCTGCGCGGCCCGCCTACCCGCCACCGAAGACCCCGCTCAGACCAGACAGCAACATCCGGCGCCGGGTCCGGATTCCATCCTCTTCCGACGAGAAGCCACTTCCGGCGCTCTTGACGCTTGCGCAGGAGAGCCGCCCGGGCCGTTTCCTCCGCCTTCCGGGCGTTTCTCTTCGGACACGGACGCTGGGCCGGAAGAGGATGGCGGCGGCCGCTCTGAAGAGGTTTTGGTCCCGAAACCGTGAAACTCCCGCGGGCCCGGCGGCCGCGAAGCTTGGCGTGTGGGCGCGGTTGGGTGAGTAGCGGCGGGAGGCGGCCGGGCGGGGTGGCCGCCGCGGCCCGGCGTCCGTCACCGCTTCTCTCCCCGCAGGCTCCTGGGCCCGCGTGCTGCTCCGAGACTACGCCGAGGCCTGCGGGGACGCGGCGGCGGCGGCGCGGGCCCGGCCCGGGCGGGCGGCCGCGTACGTGGGGCTGCTGGGCGGCGCGGCGGCCTGCTGCGCGCTGGCGCCGGGCGAGGCGGCTTTCGAGGCGGCGCTGCTCGACGCGTCGGGGACGCTCCTGCTGCTGGCGCCGGCCACGCGCAGCCGCGCCGCCGAGGCGCACGTGCAGCGGCTGCTGTGGCTGCGGGGCCGCGGCCGCCTCCGCCACGTGAGCCTGGGCCTGTGCTCGCTCGTGTACGAGGCGCCCGTGGACGCGCAGGCCAGCCTCTACCAGGCCCGCTGCCGCCACCTGCAGCCCCGCTGGGCCGACTTCCCGGCCCGCGTCCTGGACGTGGGCTTCGCCGGTCGCTGGTGGGTGCTGGCCGCGCGCATGCACGACTGCGACGTTAACGACGACGAGTTCCTCCACCTGCCGGCCCACTTGCGCGTCGTCGGGCCGCAGCAGCTGCGCTCCGAGGCCAACGAGCGGCTCTTCGACGAGAAGTACAGGCCCGTGGTGCTCACCGACGACCAGGTGGACCAGGCGCTGTGGGAGGAGCAGGTCTTGCAGAAGGAGAAGAAGGACAGGCTCGCCCTGAGCCAGGCTGACTCCCTGGTGCGGCCCGAGGCGCCCCGCTGAACACCGCCCCCGCCCCAATCAGGGTCGGGTCTGGGCTCTGAGCCCCCCACCCGCTGACGGACTCGTGACTCGTGTGCCCTGTCCGCCGCTGCAAGGGGAGTAAGTGACATGCAGGGCGCTCCCTGGGCTCTCGGCACCTGTCTGGCCGCTCCCCGTCCCTACCCCCCCCCGCCCTTGTTCCTTGTCAGAGCGCACGGAAGGACACTGCCAGCCTTGGCAATGAGCCCCGCGTGTCAATGAGCTTTTCTCGCGGAGCCTCACCGCCCCTCGACGGAGCGGTCCTATTTATTAGGTGTTTTCAGTGCTCTCCGAAGAGTATTCAGATTTTTAAGTTCGGCCATATTCGCCCTTGTTTCATGTTCATGATTCGCGTTTTTAATTATTTGAAGTTAAAGTTAAAAAGTTGATAGTCTCAGACGAAAGTGGAGAAACACCCCAGGCATCCTGGGTACCCTTCCCCCAGCGGAGCCCAAATGGAGCTTCCAGGAGGAGGACTACAGACTTTACGGGGCAGCTTTTTGCAATAAACAACCTGCTTTTACAACCAGGGACAGTGCTGGCAAAGTGACCCGGAAGGGGAAGACATTTAGAATTATCCATAGGTCCTGTTTGTATTTCAGAAACCCTGAAAACCCAGCGTCCTATGGAACGGGAGGTGTTAGGGTACAAAGCGGGTACTTAGGTTACGAAAATTCTGCTTTAAAAACTAATAGAGGAACGAGACTACCTCTGTCACCTAAGTGGCCTGTGGCTAGGGTAATAAAACTGTGAGATGAAACAATCATCTTTGTTATGTTTGTGTTAATGTGTTCTGCCATTTAGTTCTGGTACTTCTAAACCTTCCATTCACACTCGGTGTCCTTATTTTTGGCACAGTGGAGCATCTTGTAAGTCAACAGAAAAAGCGATGTTCAAAAAGCTGAATCTTTTTCTGGGCCACCTGGGTGGCTCAGTCGGTTAAGCACCTGACCAGCTCAGGTCATGACCTCATGGTTTGTGGGTTCAAGCCCCATGTTGGGCTCTGTGCTGTCACCTCAGAGCCTGGAGCCTGCTTCGGGTTCTGTGTCTCCTCTCTGCCCCAACTCTGTTCGCTGTCCATCTCAAAAATACATTTAGGGGCGCCTGGGTGGCTTAGTCGGTTAAGCGTCCGACTTTCGCTTAGGTCATGATCTCGAGGTTCGTGGGTTAGAGCCCCGCATCGGGCTCTGTGCTGACTGCCAGCTCAGAGCCTGGAGCCTATTTTAGAGTCTGTATCTCCCTCTCTCTCTGACCCTCCCCTGCTCACGCTGTCTCTCTCTCTCCTAGAAATAAATTATTTAAAAAAAAATTAAAATTTTTTTTAAAAAAATTTTCCCCCCCAAGAAAAACATCTTGGGAGAGCCAAGATTCAAACTGCAACTCCCAACCCTGTGCCTTAATCCTCAAACCTGGGATATTATTCTTCAATCCTAACATTCTGCCAGAAATTACTAATCTGCTATCACTAGCCATAGATAAAACTTGGATACGGAAATAGAAGTTTTACATGCAGGGGGCGCCTGGGTGGCTCAAGTCGGTTAAGCGTCCGACTTCGGCTCAGGTCATGATCTCATGGTTCGTGGGTTCGAGGCCCGCGTCAGGGCTCTGTGCTGACAGCTAGCTCAGAGCCTGGCACCTGTTTCAGATTCTGTATCTCCCTCTCTCTCAAATAAAACATTAAAAAAAAGTTTTTTTTAAAGAAATTCTACGTGCAAGATATAAAATACAGAAATTTTAAGTGAATATAAAAAAATACAAGGGCAAAAGGCAAAGGATACTGAATTATAATTCAATAAGGTTACCTGCCGAAGGCTCTGGGTCTAAATCCTGAAGTCTTCGTTAAAGAGATACTAACCAACTTCAAGGAAAGGGTTAAGACACACTGGCATCCAAGGGAGATGTGTTCCTCAGTGTGATCAGAAGTACTGGAAGTACAAAGCTTCATTGCTTGAGGTGGTTATTAAATGCCACTGCAGGGGCGCTTGGGTGGCTCAGTTAAGCGCCTAGCTTCTCAGGTCATGATCTCACAGTTTGTGGGTTTGAGCCCTGGGTCGAGCTCTGCTGACAGCTCAGCCTGGAGCCTGCTTCGGATTCTGTCTCTCTCTCTACCTCTGTTCTGCTCACGCATTCTCTTTCTCTCATAAACACACATTAAAAAAAAAAAAATAGTGCCTCTTGTGACATTTAGCCAGGATGTCTATTCCATGCAGACACCCGATAGCTGCGCAGCTTGGGGCAGTGGTTGGCAACAAACTAAACTCTCGGTGTTCTTGGGAATGTAAGGGCTTCGTATAGGCCTACAGTCTGTGTGGCTTTGTCTTTGGTTAGAGGGCTGACCTAGCTCACAGGATCCCTACCAGATTTTTGCTCCACTCTCCAATATCTCTTGCCTCTTGAGTTCTAAGGCTTGTGGGCTGGAACGGTCAGACAAGGGGACGGGGTGTTGGGGTATACACCCAAAGCCTGGGTCTAGGTCTCCTTGTTCGCTGCAGAGCCCCCAACACCCAAAGTGCTCAGGACAGCGTGGGCCACAGCAAATGCTGAAGGAGTTAGTCCACTGTGACTAAGAGTTGGTACGGTTCTGCTGGGGGGGGGGGTGTGAGTGGGGAGGGAAGCGGTGCAGGGCTGGCTCTCCACCTTGGGTCAGCCCAAAGGAAGCCCAGGCCCAGCACCAGAAACTGAAGTGCACAAACGGTTTCCACTGTTTCTATAAGGGCAGTAGGGTCTGGGGAAGAGGTGGCACTTAAACTAGGGTTTGGGGGCACTTGGGTGGCTCAATCAGTTAAGCATCCGACTTCGGTCAGGATCTCACGGTTTGGGAGTTCGAGGCCAGTGTCGGGCTTTGCTGACAGCTCACAGCCTGGAGCCTGCCTCAGATTCTAGGTCTCCCTTTCTCTCTCGAACCCTCCTCCAGTCATGCTCTGTTGGTGTCGCTCTCTCGGTCTCTCTCAAAAAACAAACACTTTAAAAAAAAAATAATAGTTTGAATCTCAGCTTTCATACTAGTTTTGTAGTTGACAAGGGCTAGAACAATTACATAAAAAGAAAAGGCAAACATTGTAAAGGAAAATGGATACTACTTGCAGACAATGTATTATATATAGAAACCTCTAAAGACCCCCGGAAAAAACTGATAGAAGAAAGGAATTCACTGATGTTGAAGGATACAAAATACAAAGTCTGTTGTATTTCTATACACTAATAAAGTAACAAAGAAAACAATCTAATTTACAATTGCATCAAAAAGAACACCTAGGAATAAATTTAACCAAGCAGATGAAAAACCTGTACATTGAAAACTTTAAGGCACTGATGAAAGCAAAACTGAAGACACAGATGTAAAGGTACACGGTGCTCATGGATGGGAATATTGTCAAAATGTCCGTATTCCCCAGGCACCTGGGTGGCTCAGGTTTGTGGATTTGAGCCCCACATCGCTGGTTGCTGTCCGTGCAGGGATCCTCTGTCCACCCCGCTCTCTGTCCCCCTCCCATTCTCCCTCTCTCTCAAAAAACAAACATTTAAAGTCCATATTCCCCCAAACAGTCTTCAACCCTACCAAAATTCCAATGACATTTCACAGGAAAAAAAAAAATTCCTGACATTTATAGGGAACCACAGAAGACCCTGAATAGCCAAAGTAATCTCAGGGAAGAGCAAACTGGAGGGATCATGCTTCCTGATGAAGTATATTACCAGGGTATAGTATTTGAAACAGTACGGTAGCAGGATCAGATCAATGGAACAAGATAGCCCAGAAATAAACCTATGAACATATGGTCAACTTATAACAAAGGAGCCAAGAACATACAATGGGTAGAGAGCAGTCTCTTCAATAAATGGTGTTGGGGAAACTGGACAACCACATTCAAAAGAAGGAAACGGGGCCACTATATTATACTACGTACAAAAATAATTGAAAATGGGTTAAAGAACAGAAGACCTGAAACCATAAAACTCTTAAAACAGAAGCAAGGAATCTCCTGGACATCAGTCTTGGTGATGATTTTTTGTATTTGGCACCAAAAGCACCGTCGACAAAGACAAAAGCAAGCAGAACCACAGCAAACTAAAAAGCTTCCACACGGCAAAGGGAACCATCAACAAAATGAAAAGGCAACCTACCCAAATGGGAGAAAATATTCCTAACTCCTACATCTGATAAGTGGTTACTATCCGAAATATATAAAAAGCTCAGACAATTCAATCACAAAAAGACAATCTGATTTAGAAATGGGCAGTGGATGTGAACAGACATTTGTCCAAAGAAGACATGCAGATGGCCAGCAGGTACATGAAAAAGATCCTCAACATAGCTAATCGTTGGGGAAGTGCAAATCAAAACCACAAGGAGGGATCACCTTGTAGCTGTGAGAATGCCTGTTGTCAGAAAGACAAGAAAGAAGTGTTGGCGAGGACGTGGGGAAAAGATAAGTCTTGTGCACGGTTGGTGGGAATGTAAACTGGTGCAGCCACTGTAGAAAACACTATGGCAGTTCCTCAAAAAATTAAAACTAGAACTACCCTATGAACCATTAATTCTACTCCTGGATATTTATCCAAACAAAAAAACTAAAGAAGATATATGTTCCCCTCTGTTCACTGCAGCATTATTTACAGTAGCCAAGATATGGAAACTCAGTGGATGATCGAATAAGGACGGTGTGATATACGATAGACTATTACTGAGCCATAAAAAGAAGGAAACCTTGCCGTTTTCAACAACATGGATGGACCTTGAGGACACTATGTTCAATGAAATAAGGGAACCAAAGACCAATGCTAAGGGAACTCACTCACATGTGGAATCTAACAACAACAACAAAAAAAGAACAACAAAGAAAAAACTGAGCTCACGGATACAGAAAGTCATGGGGATGTAATATATAGCATGGTGACTATGGTTAACAATATGCTATGTTTTGGGGGCACCTGGGTGGCTCCGTTGGTTGAGCCTCCAACTTTTTTTTTTTTTAAACGTTTTATTCTAGGAGAGAGAGAGAGAGACAGCGTGAGCAGGGGAGGGTCAGAGAGAGGGAGTCACAGACTGAAACATTTTTTAATGTTTATTTAAATCGAGAGAGAGACAGAGACAGAATCTGAACCAGGCTCCAGGCTCTGAGCTGTCAGCCACATTGGGCTCAAACTCACAGTGAGATCATGACCTGAGCCAAAGGTAGTCTTTGCCACCCAGGTGTCCCTCTATTTGGTTGTTTTAACTGCTGCTTAATCTAGAGAAGTCTCCCCCCCATAGCTTTGACCTGTTGTGAAAATGAATTTAACCATCTTGATTTCCCACATATGGATTTGTCACCTTGTTAGCTGGGTCCCAGGCAGCTCCATCCATCCATCCATCCATCCATCCATCCACCCATCCACCCATCCACCCATTCATCCATAGACAGATTTTTTTTTTAAATTTATTTATTTATTTAGAGGGAGAGAGTGAATCCCAAGCAGGTTCCGCACCATCAGCACAGAGCCCAACACCAGGCTCGAATTAACAAACTGTGAGATCATGACCTGAGCTAAAATCAAGTCAGATGCTTAACCGACTAAGCTACCCAGGCGCTCGTGGCCACAAGTTAAATCTCCCCAGGTGATGTCAATAAACAACCAAGCCTGCAGCCACTAGTCGGGAGGTTCTCCCACACCTCTTCCACGTGGGTACTTTGGCTTAGTCCCGCATCACGTGTTGGGAGGCACACCGTGACTGCCTGGCTCAGTCAGGGCCCTACACTGTTAGGTTTCCTTTCTGCCTTTCAT